GCGCACCGGGTGGTCCCATAATTTCATTATTCTGTCGAGGAGTTAAAAGATTTTAATTTATATAAAAGCAATTGGAGGAACACTTTAAGGCTACATCTTACATTTTAAACACCGTCAAAGTGGATTGTAAGTACAAAAAATGTCCAAAAAGATACGACACACAGCACCAATTTGTAGATTATAATAAACGTCAATTCAGTTTATTCGAGAATTAGATGAGTCAGAATCCGATGGAAATTTGTTTAAGTTTGATAAGTTCCACCTCAACTTCCCGAGTCCAGTCTATCATGGCTGCTGATTGGCACCACGGTGGTTGTTGAGTTTGCTCTCCTTGCTTTACCCTTTCCCATACTGGATTATTTGTTATTAGTAGTAATCGACAAAGATCCTCGACGAGCACCGCGATCCTCTGTGATTGCATGAACTTCTGCGTTCAGTGGTCGAAGTGTACACTTATCGCGCGCTAACCTCTCGTTTACGGTCATACTATCCAGGCCTCCGACGCCATTACAAATTACTACGGTAATGTTGTTTTTGTAATAGAAAAGAGAATAAAACACCAATAAAGAATGAAACAATTTAGAATTTAATACTAATAACTACTTGTGTTTTATTTTTTTTTTGTATTTTCTTCCCTTCACCGCAATAAGCATACACGCGAATCACCCTCACTTCTTACGTCACATAATAACTCTAGGGAGATCTTGTTGTTGTTGCCGCTGTCTGCCATTCCTCCACTCCTCTGTTAAACGAATAGAATCCTGTTGCCTTTCCTTTGTCGTCGCTTCCTTTGCATGGAGATTACTTGGATTATCTCTCATAATCATAATCACAAACTAACAATCGGGTACGTAAATTCAGGTTCCTGTGAAGTGAGCTGCACGCGGTTGTTAGTGCATACGTTTTAGTTTTTTCCAAGTAACAGCACTGGTCGATCTTCAATTACACTTCGCGTGTGTTTTTGATTCGTTACATTACACTAAATACACTCCACTTTTCGCTTTCACTTTCTGTGCAAAAAATACATTTTTGGGAAATTTCGACCTTTTGTGGCGGAGGTACCAGAATGTGTGTATTTTGAAAACAATCGGACTCTTACATCACATTTTATGAGAGTTGTAATTATTTAAAATGTTTACCCTTTGTGGGGGAGGTACCAGATGGAGTGGGCCGATATTGTCCATTTTCGCACCAGACCTAGCACTGATGCAAATATTGGGATTTGCAAAGTTGGAGCAAAATCAGATTATCGTTTCTCTTCCTGTGCAAAACAAATTTATTTTTTTTTTTGAAAATTTCTACCATTTGTGGCGGCGGTACCAGAAGGAGTGGACCGATATATTCCATCTTAACACCAGAATGTGTGAATTTTAATAACAATCGGACTCTTACATCACATTTTATAAGAGTTGTAATTATTTAAAATGTTTACCCTTTGTGGGGGAGGTACCAGAAGGAGTGGGCCGATATTGTCCATTTTCGCACTAGACCTAGCACTGATGCAAATATTGGGATTTACAAAGTTAGGGCAAAATCAGATTATCGTTTCTCTTTCTGTGCAAAACAAATGTATTTTTTTTTTGAAAATTTCGACCATTTGTGGGGGAGGTACCAGAAGGAGTGGATCGCTATATTCCATCTTAACACCATACCTTGGGTTAATATAAATATTGGGATCTGTTAAATTTGAAGACAATCGGACTCTTACATCACATTTTATGAGAATTGTAATTATTTAAAATTTTGACCATTTGTGGGGGAGGTACTTGATGGAGTGGACCGATATTGTCCATTTTCACACCTGACCTAGCACTGACGCAAATATTAGGATGTGCAAAGTTGGAGCAAAATCGGATTATCCTTTCACTTTCTGTGCAAAAAAAAATATTGTTTTGGAAATCTCGACTTTTTGTGGGGGAGGTACCAGAAGGAGTGGACCCATATTGCCCATCTCCAACAGACAGACGGGCGAACGGACATCGCTAGATCGACTCCAAATGTTCTGAAACGGATTTGGTCCAAAGAGACCTAGGGTCTAAAACCGTTATTTCGACTTTGCACGTTTTGACCGTATCAAATGATATATACCCTCTGTAGCCATATGGCTGATGGTATAAAAAAGAGGAAAGTAAAGGGAAATATGTAGTTCTTGCATCGATGAACGTGACAGTGATACGGAAAACGATGCCCTCAAAAAAATTAGGATGTTATACCATAGACAAATAAATGTATAGACTAAAAAGTTTTAAAATTTACCCCTTCCGGCAGATGTCACTATGGTTGATCTTCAATCCCACGGCAGCGGGTTCTACGACACCGGATTGACCCGAAACAACAACACTCCAGTTTCGGCCAGCGGCTGCCAACCCAGTGTATACATGTTCGTGTTTGTTTATTTTTCTGTGCGGTGCGATGTAATGGATGCTGAGGATGGGTGCATTTTAGGAATTGTTCCGGTTTAACCCGGTTGCGAGACTATAGCGATAGGGACTATGTTGCTTCGTGCTGTACCAACGTAGTCCCCAGTGAGTCCACGACCTCGTCGTCAACTTCCGAGTCGTCGTCGGAGTATGGAACTCCCCCGCAGTCTCCAGAACAGCAACCTTTACCGCAGCACCTGACACCACATGTTGCTGTTCCAATTCCGGACAATGCATCATTCTTGCAGTTCAATTGCAACGGACTCCGAGGTAAAATTGATGAGATAGAGGATTTTATGAATCGGAGGAATATTAAGATCGCAGCGGTGCAGGAAACCAAGCTCAATGAAAATTGTAGCTTACAACGTTGCAATGGTTACAACGTATTGAGGAAAGATCGCACCAGAAGTGGAGGTGGGGGATTAGCGTTCCTGTTACACCATTCTGTTCAATACAGACCTATCTCGCTTGAGCTAGTCTCTAGTGACCCGTACATGGAGTGTATGGGGGTAGCAGTCAAGTGTGGTACTGCCGAGGTAGATGTGCTTAATGTGTATATCCCGCCGGTTAATAGTTGTGAACAGCGTTACTTGCCTAATATAAGCCCACTTTTGGAAGGCAATAACCGCCTGGTACTAGGGGACTTCAATGCCCACCATGAGTTGTGGCATTCCGTCCTAGGTAATGGCCAGAAGGGATCAGCGTTGGCAGAGCAGATTGACTGCTCCTCATTTTGCACGGTAAACGAGGATGCCCACACCCGAATAAGAGGAGAGTGTCACAGTTCGCCAGATTTAACCATCGTGTCACCCGGTCTGATAAATGGCGTGACTTGGCAACCCGTCATTTCTCTTGGCTCAGACCATCTCCCGATAATCGTCTCCATCAGCAGATCGCCCGATTTCATAACTTCTGAACGCCGCACTTTCCTTAACCATGGTAAAGCCCACTGGCCCGAGTTCAGAGAGTTCACGAACCTTCGCTTCAGAGAACTGCCCAATCCTTCTGATGTTCGGGTAGCTGAAAGGATTTTCCGGGACATCATCAAAGCTGCAGCCGCTCGCTATATACCTGCTGGTCGAATACCCGAAGTAAGACCAAATTTCCCAGCAGAGGCAGCGGGATTAGCGAATGAGCGTGATGAGCTCCGACGTACCAACCCTACTGATCCCAGAGTCAGTAAACTGACAGTGGAAGTCAACCAGTTGGTACAGGAGCATAAGCGGAAAAAGTGGCTAGACCATCTGAAGTGTTGCAACATTGGAACCGATTTGAGTAAACTGTGGGTAACGGTAAAGTCACTCTCGAACCCTGGAAAAAGGATGATAGGACAGCAGTCACATTTAACGACGTAACTGTGACTGATCCGAAGAGGTGCGCTGGCTATTTTAACCGCCAATTTGTCGAGCACCCCAAGAGTGATAGGGCGAGGCGAAGAGTACTACGTCGATGGGTGATGTTGCGAATGTCATCAGAAATGCTAAAGCGTTGGGCCCGGACAAAATATCAATGGTAATGTTGAAGCAACTGGATACGCGCAAGCCACAGCTTCAAGGCGTTAGCCGGCAGCTCTTGGGGTGCGGATAAGGAAATCTTGTTATAAAAGTCGGTCTGTTGTTAGCTATGCGGCTCCAGTGGGGTCGGCGAATACAAGTGCAACGCAGTGGAAAAGTATTCAGACCTGCCAGACTGCCGCCCTGAGCACTGCAACAGGGTGCCTCCTCATGACTCCTGTTGACCATTTACATGAGGAGACGAAGGTTCTTCCCTTACGTCAGCATAATCATATGCTTTCGTTGCAGTACCTGCTTGGGTGTTATCGTGGGAGTCACCCTAACCACCATATGGTGGATGGAACTCCCCCACCCAGGCGTGTCAGGAAAGACCTGCACGATCTAGAGAGAGCGGTCCAGCGATATAAGAGAGAGCCCCTAGATCATGAAGCCTATCAAGCAGGTCTGAATAGCATTCATACTAATGCAGATGTTTAATTGTCCAGCCAAACTTACCCAACTCCGTCCAGAGGATCCATGGCTACAACCCACAAAGGTAGCAGAATTCCTAAACCTGGACATTGAGAAAGAACCGGATTAGTCGGAAAAAACAACGGGACATGTAAAACTGCTACAACAACAATAACAACATGGTTGATCTTGGGCCAGTGAAGCCACTCAGGGCTAGTGAAATCACTCTACTTCGAAAATAATTTATTCATTTTTCTCCTATTTAAGTTTTATATTTTGAATATTTCACGACATAGTTGGGTAATTTAAATGTAAACAAAGTCAAATGACAAATAATAACAAATCATAAAAATATTCAATATTTTGAGAGAATTGAGTGAATAGTCTTTGCTCTCTCACAGCATGACCAACATCTATTGAAGCACTTTTTTCGTAGATAACAGATGAGACAACTTTTTAGACTATACATTTATTGTCTTTGGAATGTACCGAATTTAAAAATCGTCGATACGATGAAATTATTGAACTAGAGTTTATATGCGAAGCATGATAATAAAATAAAGCTAAACATCAATTTTAAAACTCCTTAGGGAAGACTGATACCTATGCACCTGTTTTATACGTGCATTACGTGCACCTTTTGCATACGTGCATTGCTGGTGAATCTAAGCACGTATGCCAAAATTCTTTGTAACTTCCTGAATGAATTTTTGTGCTCGATCATATGTATTAGATGCATGTCAGAAGCTACTATTGACGTCGTAGCTGCAGTCTTTAACTCCATGCTATTTGTTATATCCTCTTGCGGAGAGAATTTGGTCGGCCATAGTTCTTCCTTTCCATGAAGAAAAACTGGACCATGAAACCATAATCGGCATTTAGAAAGATCAGCTGGCGAGAGTCCTCGGGATAAAATGTCGGCAGGATTTTCTTTTGACTTAACGTGGTTCCATTGTTCTGGCAATGTTAAGTTTTGTATGGTGGATACCCTGTTAGCCACAAAAGTCTTATATACGTTGGACCTTGATTTTATCCAGGCGAGTACTATTTCAGAATCAGTCCATAAAAACATCGGATTATTCTGAAGCCTTAGGTCATTTTTCACCCTGGTAGCCAGTTGAGCTGCTACCACTGCGGCACATAGCTCTAATCGCGGTAGAGTTTGTTTTCTCAAAGGAGCTACCCTGGATTTAGCACAGATCAGACGTACAACTACTCGTCCATCTTTTCCAATAAAACGAATATAAATAGCCGCGCCAAAAGCTCTTTCCGATGCATCGGCAAACACATGCAACTGGATTTTCGTCGGGATCTCCCCACAGAATACATGTCGCGGTATCTTAAAGTTGTTGAGACCTTCCAATTCCCTCCGAAATGTTTTCCAAGTGGCACAAAGTTTTTCGGGTAATGCTTCGTCCCAATCTAATGTATGTTGCCACAGCTGCTGAATAAATATTTTTGCCTTCACCACAATCGGTGCAAGTAGACCAAGCGGATCAAATAATTTTGCTAGTTCAGACGTAACTACTCGTTTTGATATGATTTCATTATGATCAATGTTCGTTTTTACACAAAATTGATCTGCTTGCGGCATCCAATATAATCCCAACGTCTTTATTGTTTGAGATTCGTTGAGATCCAGGTTCACTTCTCGATCGCTAGGTGGTATGTCCTTCAGCAATCTTGGTGTATTGGATGACCATTTCCTTAGAATGAAGCCGTGTTTTTTCAAGATTGCTATTAACTCCTTTTGTATTTCAATAGCTGTACTTAGGCTATCTGCACCGACGAGACCGTCATCCATATAAAAATTATCTTTCAGCATTTGTGAGCCTAATGGATAACGCTCCATGTTCTCGTTTGCAATCTTTTGTAAGCATTTTGTAGCCAGATACGGTGCTGAACGTGTCCCATATGTGACCGTATTAAGTTTGTAATAACTGACTGGATGGGATGGATCCTCTCTCCAGATAATTAGCTGATACCTTTGATCATCGGGATGCATTAAAATCTGCCTGTACATCTTTTCAATATCGGTTGTGAAGACGAATTTTGGCAATCGAAACCTCAGCAAAATAGAAAACAATTCACTTTGTACGATTGGTCCTGTATACATTAGATCATTTAACGATTGACCTGATGAAGTTTTCGCTGATGCGTCAAATACAACCCTAAGTTTTGTTGTTGTACTATCGGGCTTGAGAACACAATGATGCGGAATAAAATATTTAGGATTTGATACGGTACACACGTCAATCTTTTGCATGTGTCCTAATTGTTCATATTCTCGCATAAATTTAACGTACTGACTTCGGATATCTTCCTTCTGTAGAAGTCGGCGTTCAAGGCTCATAAATCGGTTATAAGCCATTGCATGTGATTTCCCCAATGCTGTTGGAGATTCTTGAAACGGAAAGCTGACGATGAAACGACCATTCTGATCCGTCTTAACATGTTGATTGAAGTGAGATTCGCAAAGGGTTTCTAATGGAGACATGACCTTTTCAGTTGATTCCACTTCCTCAAGTTTCCATAATTTTTCGATAGCTTGTTCCAGTGATGTTTCACTAAAAATTGCGCATGTTAGCGCTGCTGATGTGTCGTCCGTTGACGATTGTTGAATTAAACCACCTACCATCCAGCCAAGCGCAGTATTTTGGAGTATGGGTTGATGACCATTTAGTTTTATCGTGCCTGGTTGCATTAAACTGAAGTAAAACTCAGCTCCGAGTAAAATGTCAATTTTTCCTTGAACGTTAAAATTAGGGTCTGCTAATCTAATATTCTTGGGAATTTGCAAGTTTTGTATATCCAAATCATGATTTGGTTGCGGAGGTATAATTGTGGGCAAAACAAATGCTTCCAAATTTGTGGAAAATTCAGAATTGCTTGATAACATTTGTATGTTTACCCGATGATAAGCCTTCTTCTGAATCCTTCCGACTCCGGAAATAGATAAAGAGGCATCTGCTTTTCTAAGTGACAATTTTTGTATGAGTCTTTCCGTCACAATGTTCACTTGCGAACCCGAGTCTAACAGCGCTCTAAATTCGCCTGACATACCGTTAGTCGCTTTGATGATGACTCTAGCCGTTGCTAGGATTACCCTTTTCTGATCTTCTGCTGATGCCGAAGAAACTGCAGTAACGTTGACTGGTGCGATATCGATTTTTGTTGGTGGTGATTGATTTGAGGCCTTCGGCGACGGTTGAGACTTTTTTGGCAAATGTAGCAATGTATTGTGCTTATTACTACATATTTTGCAGTTGCCAGAAAAACAAGTTTTTGCTGCATGGTCCGATTTGAAACAATTTACACACAATTTATGTTGCTGTATCCATTTCAATCGCTCACCTTCTGTCATTGCCAAGAACTTCTTACAATGATAAATTGGATGGGAGTCGTTCTTGCATAGTTTACAACTCCTGTGATCCTCCACTGATGTTACGGACGAAACAGTTTTGATTGAACCCTTGTGAGTAGATGCCGCTTTTCCAATCGATTGCATTGATTCGAATTGCAGTTCCAAAAATGAAAACAGCTCTTTCATAGTAGGAACTTCCTTCGGATTCGCCAGTGATTGCATGAATCGTATGTACAGAGCGTGATCCAATTTCTTTGTGATCAATTGAATCAATAGAGCATCCCAAGACGTTGTGTCGATTTGAAGATTGTTGAGGGCTAGCATGCATTCCTTTGTAGTGTCATGCAGAGCCTTGATGGAGGCCGTTGTTCCATTTGGTTGACTCAAAATCCGTTCTACTAGAGTGGAAACAAGAACCCGCTTATTGTTATAACGTTCTTGCAGCAACATCCATGCCGTTTTGTAATTATCCTCTGTCAAGGATAGATGACTGATTAGTTTGCCAGCCTCGCCAGACAAATTGGTTTTGAGATACCACATTTTTTGAACACTTGGAAGAGACTGTTTGTCTACCATCTCCAAGAAAAGTTCATAGAACTGACGCCACTTCAAACAATCCCCATTGAATTGAGGAATTGTTACCTTTTGGTAGTGGGAGTGAACTATGTGCTATAATGTCACTCCCTAATTGAGGTGCAATGGTCACGGTTTCGCTGCATTTGTCTTTCAAGACTGCTAGTTTTATTAAGTTGTCTTGTACCGAATCTTCCAGCATATCGCAGTTTTCTTGAATTAATCCAATTTTCGATGGATCTTCAATCTGCTGCAATATTTCATCGTAGAGCTCCGTTATTTGATTCCATAGCTTTTTTATAGTATCTTCTTTGATGCTATAAAATTGCTTCGGCTGTTCCGCTTCGATTGTGCCCAAGCCTTGCAAGTGACGACTAAGGGCACTCATTCGAGCATTTATCATTCTGACAAGCCCATCAACACGGGAAGGTATTTTGTCTCCTGCGACAACTTCAGTCGATTTCTCTCTCAAGGTGGGAACTGGCTTACTTTTGGCTGACCTCAGTTTCTTCATTTCCGCGTCTATATATTCCATTGTTGAGCTGAACTTCTCTCCAATCGTTCTATATAGATTCCGAGCAATATACGGATCATCCTCTGACAATGATGGATCATCGCGAATTCTGTTTTCTGCCTTCTCAAAATTCTGCCATAACAGCCTTAGTTCATCAAGTTTGCTCTTGTAGAACTCTTCCGTTCTCCTTTCAAGAGGTGCCTTCTTTATAGTAGAGACGAATTTTTCGAAATTGCTGCCTCTTTCTTCTTGCTGAGAAATAAGCTCTTGGACGTTTGCCATTATTGTTTGTTGATTTATCAGCGAGTAGCAGCAGTTGTTGTATGATGATTAGTTTCAGGCAATTTCCTCCTGGTTTTCCTCCAGAGCTCCAAAAGGGGGTTTTTGAAATTGGTACGCGTGCGTTACGTCCTCACACCTCGTGGATAACGTCACCAAAAAATGTTTCGGATTAGTTACCGTCAGGATCACGTCGGGGTCACCAAAAAATGTTTCGGTAGTAGGATCTAGAGCGATTCAATTCAAACACATAAATTTGAACTGACACTTAGTATCCAAATTAATTTCCTTGCAAGCACATGAACTTGAAGGAAGCCGCCTAGATAGTAATTAAAACTCTTAGTTTAGTCACTACAAAAGACGACTGAATTTTCTTTATTTCTGGCTGTCTTTATATACATAATTTCTTAACATAATTAATTAAAATGCTATTGATAAATGCTGATATAAATTAATTGTAATGTAGGTCGGTTACTAGTAGACATTAAATGCTATGTAAGCAAAATAAATAAATGTGTTAAAGAAACTTAAAAACATTGCAAAAGTGAATGAACCAATGGCCAATGAACTAAAATAAAGAAAATTAACTGTAACAATAAAATAGTCCAAATATGTGATATAATAATGCTGTATAAGCAGTTTAAAACTTATAAATATGTAGGTGTGCTTGATTTTTGTATTTATTGTTTGTTTTGGTAATTAAATCTAAAGTATGTTTATAGAACAAAAAAAAAAAAATATTTATGTGTGTTTTAACATTACCTGATTTTATTCCTAATGTTTAGGTATAAGTTAAACCAAAATGAATTAAAAACAGTACCTAGCTTGAAAGACAAAATGAATTCCAGATATAAGAAAGAAATATTTTTCTGTTTTTATTTAGTCTCATTTTTATTTTAATTGAAAATCCATGCGTTACTGAAGGTAACAATACTATTTTTGATTTTTTACCTATATTTGGTTTAGAATGATAATTAAATAAAACACCATTTAAAAACAAAATTAATTTCAAATTCTGGATTAACCTGTGAATTAGTAATATAGCATTGTTTTATACTATTTGAAATATAAAGAATATACAAAATAATATTTTCTTTACTGAAATACCATATGCCGACTACTGGCAAATAGACATGCCGAGCATTGAAAAATGGTGCCGACTACTGGCAAAAAACCACTACTATTGTAAAACTGCAAATTTTGCCAATTTAATAAAAACAAATTCAATTCTTGTTTATTATTTCGAAAACTAAACGAATTTTGGAATTTGAACATTTTTACTTTTCTGCAATTGAAAGATTTCACTCAGAATGTTGAAAGAATGAAAAATCGAATATCCTAATCCTAACCAAAAACATTTGACGTTGATGTTGTTACTAGTCCATTCGTTTATTTTGTTTAGTAATTCTCATTTTTGTGAGAATTTCTATTATAAACGTCCGGCTATTCATCGTTTGGTTATTTGTCATCCTCACCAACGTTCAATATACGTTCGAGTTTTTAAACATCGATCAATTCTTACTTGAGAATTTGCATTGCCAAAATGTTCAAGAAGAATTCCCCATCGTTCCCCAAGCCATTTTAAGCGTCGATTTGATATTTAGTTAAAACACTAACAAATTTTGGATCGTTTGGTGCGTTGCATGTTGCGTGGGTGCGTAGCTGCTTATGCATAGTCATTTCTCTGCCGACCTCGCTTGTGTTTTATTCCTCCTTGTGCGATATCCATTGTTGGTACGACCCACTGTGCAAAACAGCATAAATTGTGAATTTTTGTAATTTGTTAAAGAATTTATTTTTTTTGGACAGATTCACCCAACATTTAGTATTAACTACATCCCACCTTACCAACATATATTAGTTGTGCAATTGTTTCGGTAATTAACTAAAAATTGTTTGTACTATTTGTGAGTCTTCGTAGTGTTTGGGTTTTTTTTTTTTTTTTTTTTGGAGAATACACCCTACTTTCGGTATATACTCCCTAACATATTCCCCACCTTAATAATAAATATTTGGAGAAATTATTGAATTTGCTATACTTTTTAGTGATTCCATCACTTATTGGCTTGCGCGGTTTAAATTTTGTGGCCGCTCTCACCCTTTGACACTTAGTATAACTCACCCAGAAGGAGTTGTTCTTAAGTTTCCTTCAATTGTCAATTCTAAAATAACATTTGTTGATCTTTTAATTTCCACTTCTATAATTCTAATTAGTTGCATAATGTCGATTACTCCATTTACTCGTTTTGTTATAGCTACTAAATCGGTTGAATCATTCGAACAGTTGATTTTCGATTTTCAATCTCGAAATTTGTCTTTGGGAAATTCCAAAAATGTGGGACAAGGTCAAGTGCACATATGATGAGTGCAAAGCTTACCTCACGACATCCCAGACTGCTCAGTTGGATAAATTTGATGTCGATGGGTATTTGACCACAATAAATCGGCATCTTGATCGACTCAAATCACCCGTCTCAGTTAATACATCACTGGATATAGCTCCTCAATTATCACCAAATTCTCCATATTCTAGTAGACAAACGCCTAGGATATCGAATAGTTCTACGTTAGCGCCACCATCTCGGTTAGTTTTGGACAATTTGGTCCAGCCGGTTGCTGTGCAGTCTGCTTTTCCAACCGTAAACGCGTCCATTACTAATATTTTTTAGCAATCATTATAGTTTCTCCGCACCTCCTCTTGATATCGATGGCGATTTTATGTCTTGGCCCACGTTTCGGGATCTTTTCACCACCCTCTTCGTTAATAATTCGCGCCTTCCAGACATTATGCAGAAGACCACCGGCTGGGAAAATTGTTTCGAGATTTCCACTCACCAGTCGTAGTTTCCCTTTAGCGTGGAAAACTTTGTCAATAAGCGCCTTCTTGTGAACAACCATCCGATCTCCGCTATAATCTGTGGTCGAAGTCTGCACTTGCCCGCGCCAACACCTCGTTCACGGTTATACTGGCCAGTCCTCTGTCGCCACCCCAAATTACTAAGGTCATTTTGTTGTTGTAATATAAAAGAGAATAATACACCAATATAGAATGAAGCAATTTAGAATTTAATACTAATAACTACTTGTGTTTCAAATCTTTCTATTTTCTTTCTTTCACCGCAATCACATCATTTTATTCTTTATTTATTCTATTAGTCTATGGATAATTCCTTACAGACTATATGTGTACATAAATGATTATTATATAACTAACAAGCGAATCGACACTGACGTTGTTGAAGGTACCTCCAATATCAATGCACATTTCAGGTGTGTATGTACATTTTCTTATCGAAAGTACTCTCAATGTGGTGTACAGCCTTGTGTAGAGAGGTTTATACTGATCTTCATTTTCGTCCGTTTCATGGCTTTGAGCAAGAAAATTGCGAGGCTTATCGGCCGATATGCCTTCAGTTTCGACATGTTAACTATGCTGAACTTTAAATACCCTCCATCATTAGCTAAAGAAAACATTTTTATATATAAGGGTATCTATATTCAAACATACAGCCTATGACAAAATTGTTTGTATGCTGGTCCACGTCTTCGTATATCTCCCATATATCGGTACCTCCCGATATTCGGTATTTTCATGATTTCAGCGACATTATTTACCGGAATTATTTCAAATTTCGTATTTAATGTTCGTAATGGGTACTACAGCCTATGACAAAAAATTTCGTACGCACGTCCACGCCTTCGTATAGTCTTCATACAACAGTTTTCATTTTAATGGTAGTTTCCGGAAGTTTTTTTTGAAAATTTTAAAGTTCTTTCAAATGGTGAAGTGTATTATTAGCTGCTTTTTTACATGTTTTAGATGAAATTTTATTCAGAAAACAGTTTTTCGCGTGTTTTCGATTTTATTGATAATTCATATTTGTATTTCATTTCAACAAAGCAAACAGTTACTCTGTAATAACAATACCAAGATTTGTGAGAAAAAAAAGCAGTAGCCGAGAGTATTTTGCATTTCACTTAATAAATTTGCGAAAAGTTCTAGAACGTCACTCAGAGGGTATAAAAAGTTCGGTCCGGCCGAACTTAATGTTTTTTTACTTTTTTATCATTAGCTAAAACAGACAAGAGCTAAAACAGTAATTTCGTGCAGCGGGGGGCGACTATGTGATACCCATACACTGAAATCAAGTTAATGGGGGGAAATTTTCAAGTA